AACTTTGGCTTTAGTGCAAGAAAAGAAACCATATTTTCTCATCCCAAAGAGGCAAGAATAATAATTTTGGTTGTATATACTATAAGCTTCAAATAATTATGTAATACCCTATTATTCTACCATTTTGAGCAAATTACCAGTCTCTGATCAATAAAACTTTTTTATCTGCAAATTAAAACCAATAAAAGAAAATCCTAATCCATGTTTAACCAGAACTAATCCTGATCCACGCTTAACTAGAACTAATTATTTAAATCTTCTGGAAAAGATAATAATGTAAATACTCTATTTTGGGACCTGTCATGTTTGTTTTAATATATGAAATGAGTTGCTTTTGTTATTTATTCTTTTTATTTGTTTTCAATAAGAGATGCAACATTTCATGCCTGATTGCACTTTGAACTATGGACACAATGGAGGTGATTGCCCTACTATTGGTTCATAATTTTATAGAATTTACTGGTCCTCTTACCCCTTTCTTAATGTGGGCCAAGGAATTCTAAATATGAAAATGTCAACTTACTGAAAATACGGTTAATTATCATGATATGCTTGAATAATAATCTAATGAAATTGATCTGCGCTGACATTCTAATTTGTGATTCTACTGCAGGGGTGGGATGGGGGTGGGATCTGTGTTTGAAAGTCTAATATTGATAGATAGTTGCCTATCTCAAAAAATTTAGACTTTAATAGAAATCACATCAAAGAGCAAAGACTCATTTATTCACATGACAGCCCCCTAACAAATCAGAATAATTCCTTTGCCTTGTTCATGTTCTATATTGTATAGTTGTATTCATAGATACATTGCCATCTGGATTATCACTTAACCTTAGCTGCATTTTTGGTCACATATCCTTCATAATTATTTGAAATGTTTGTAACAAATCAGGTAGTGTAGTGATACTTTTGTATAATTGAGTTTTCTAATATCCTTGATTATTTACATTATTTATAACTTCATAAACTGGAACTTCAGTGTTGACAAAGTCTGTGTCTTGAAAACAAGTGTTGGTGAGAGTCCGGAGAGATTAAAACTCGTACACTGCTTATAGAAACATAAAATGGAAAGCATTTTGAGACTTCCTTAGAAAGTTGAGAATAAAGATGCCATTTGATCCAGCAATCCCATTGTTGTGTACTATCGAGTTGGAAGCAATTTATAGTTGACCCTCCAGAAGGTTTTCCAAGGCTGTAAACTGACCATGAGGAGATTATCCTCTCTTCCTCGGAGCAGCTGGTGGATTCAAACCAGCTGCCTTTAGGGTTGCCTGTGCCACCCTTTACCACTAGGCCACCAGAGCTCCCTAGCAATTCCTCTACTAGATACATATCTCAGAGAAAAGAGCTATAATACACACTGACATGCACATTTATTACAGCATTTTTTACAATAACGAAGTTGAAACAAACCAAATGTCCATCAGAGGGCAAATGGTCAAAGAAAGTTTGAAAATAACTTTGAAACTGTGAAAATACTTCACACAGTGGAGTATTTTGCATCCCTTAAAAATGATCCAGAATGTGTGAAATACTGCACAATGTGTATGAAATCAGAACAAATTATGCTGCATAACATGAGTCATAAAAGGGCAATTACACTATAAGACCACTATTCTACAGCGAGCCCTGGTGGCTTAGTGGTAAGAAGTTGCAGGACCAACCCAGAGGCACAGAGTTCTAATCCATTAGCTTCTCGGTAGGAAAATGATGGGCAGTTTCTCCCATATGATTTACTGCTTCTGAAAACATGCTGGAAAGTCAGCTATGAGTTGGTTCTGACTCAGTGTTACATAACAGCAAAATAAAGCTAAGGAAAGATTTACACACAGTTAGAGTCAATCTTGGAAGGTTAACTGGGATGAGGAAGGAAAAGGAGGGAGTTAAAATTCATAAATTGAGTGAAAGGAAAGGTATTATACTATTACAGTTTTATTAGACATTGTAATAAATTGATTACATTAAACAGTTGTAATTAATGTTATAAAACAAAATGTCTATTAATGATTAAAGAAACAAGATTATTTGTAAACTTTCACTCAAAAAAAGAGAAAAATAATAGTGACAATAATCATAAAAAGAAGCAAACAAAACCCAGTAACTCATGCTTTGAATGAGAGAGCAAGTGTATCTTTTGACCTTGAATCTAGTAATTGCATTGGTCATCAACAAGAGCATTTTCTTATGGAGCTGAAATAGTTACTAAACCTTCCTTGTGGCTCCAGGTCAGCATGTCCCCTCTCACTGACTTGACACTGCCTCTCAGCCTTGCTGGATTTCTGTTTGCCATCAATACCTTTCAGATGAAGTTTATCATTACCAGGAGCTCGGTGCTGGATAGCAGATGGGTTGCGTAGATGGATTTAGACCTTTAGAGGTTCTCATTCCTTACCAGATTATGATTTCCCTCCTTCCCACAACTGACCCTATTTAAATATATATTAGATCAATTGCTATGGAGTTAATTCCAATAACTCAATAAATTCATCCACCTTCTGAGATTTGCCCAGAGGGCTACTGTGACCCCTTTTCACCACCATGCTTTTTTTTTTTACATTAAATTATTTCAAAGTGTTTTCTTTAGAGGGCTGGTATTGAGGGTGTCCTTGCTTAAGAAGTACTCTAAAAACATTTCTCTCTTCTTGGTAACTCAGCCCTGTGATCAGGCTTAATTGGGCTGAGTGCTCATAGAAAAACATTTGTTCTGCACCCTCAACTTCTTCTTGTCTATCAAAGCCAAGAAAATAGCATCTTGCAGACTTGGAACTGCCTGAAATTTTCATGCTAAATTCCAACATAATGTGAGTTCATTTAATCAGATTAATTCAGTGAGGAAAACTCAAAGACTGCCACCAGAGGAAAAATTTCACTAAACATCTTGTGAATTGAAGTCATCATAATTCGAAGGGATTTGGAGGAATAGGTTATATACTGTTAAAGGCTTAACCCATGCCTGTGGCCACCAAGTGGAAGGGAGTCTTTGTTCTTCAGGATATGATTAACGTTGCTTCATTGTTTAACTTTAGAGCTCCTGAAATAAAGATGCTTGCACCAAGTTCAAGGCACGTGTTGTTGGAATTCCGAAAATACTTATTATTCCTTTTTTAAAATTATAGAAGTAACATAACTGTGTTGTGAAAAGATTATAAAATAATAACCAGAAAATATCCCACAATCTCTTAACAATGGCCAAAACCTCTGTTACTCTTCTGTCAAGGTTGTGTCCAGTCTCGTCTCTCGATACATTTAAAAATAAAATTATAACATGCCTTCTGAACCATATTTCTTTAACTTAGCATTATGTCATCTACTTTCTTGTATTTCTAGTTTCATATGTTTTAATTTCTGCATAACATTCCCTCCTCTGGTATTTTAAGTTTCTGGGTTAGCAGCACACTTCTCCCTTTGCCACCAGACCTCTTTATGTTTCTTGTTTCCCCTGTTTGATAAATGTGTGTTAAGATGATAGTTATTATCATTAAATGATGTTAATGCTATGGTAGATACCTTAATCCAGACATTAGTCACCTTTTTACCAGAATTGAACTTTTTTTTTATAATTTTAATGAATATTTACAGAGATTTTGGATTTCCATTCATTCATTGCTGCACTTCTCTCCCCGCCCAACCACCCCCTCCCACCCCAGTTCGCTCCTCTCTTTGAAAACTAAAAGAAACACTCTCTCCCTGGTACACAATCCCCCCGCACCCCTCCCACCACCCAAAGTACATTCCACTATGCAACCTTAATTGTGGACTCTTGTGATAACCATAATACCCTATCATACGTCGCTTTTAAATTATTCTCTCCCTCATCTGTTTCGGTGCAGTATACACAGTTTATCTGGTTTATCTCAGTCTTACCTCGACCCTGATATCAGTCCCATTTTACAGCAGTGGTACCATGTAATATTTGTCCTTTTGCGACTGAGATATTTCACTCAGCATAATGTCCTCCAGACTCACCCATTTTGAATAATATTGCATGAGTTCCTTGTTTTTTCAATGCAGCGTAGTATTTCATTGTGTGAATATACCACAGCTTCTCTATCCATTCTTTTGTTGATGGGCACCTGGGTTGTTTCCAACTCCTTGCTATTGTGAACAAAGCTGCGATAAACATGGGTGTGCATTTATCTGCTTGGGTGTCAGTTATGGTTTCTTTGGGGTATATTCCCAGTAGTGAAATTGCTGGGTCAAATGGTATCTCTATTTGCAACTTTTTGAGAAAGCACCATACCGCTTTCCACAGTGGTTGCACCATTTTACACTCCCACCAACAATGAATAAGGGGGTTCCAGTTTCTCCACAACCTCGCCAGCATTTGTTGCTGCTCTTCTGTTAAATTTTACTATTCTGACTGGGGTGAGATGATATCTCATAGTTGTTTTGAAGTATTGAACATTTTAAAAAATTATTTTTATTTTATATTAGTTTGTGTACAAAATTCATATATATTGGGTTTTGTTTATATATATTGTGTTTCACACATTCCCCTGTTCACATTGTGTTTTGTATTGTCCTTCCCATACCTTATGTCTTATGAAATTAATCACTATTGATGTAAGCCCACAATGATCTCCACCTTTTCAGGTCCCCACTGAATCTTCCTAACTCCTTCACCACCCTTGCTCTGTCCCCCAAGCTCTTCCACCTCAAGATTTTCTCCCCTCCCCACCCTCAGCTCTTCTCCCCCCCCTTCCCCTTTGAACTTTTGTACACATCTTACTACTTGTCCTTCTATCTTTACAATAATTGTCTTACTTGGTATTTGTCCTCATGGGACTGAGTTAGTTCACCTCTTTCTACTTGTTTTTTCTTTTATTGTTCCTTTTGGTTGATATTTTTGCAAGGAGAGAGTTGGTCATGATCCACTTCATTGGTGTTTTGGGGTTTTTTAAAAATAAAATTTTTTATTTTAATTGTGATTTCAACAAAATTTTATAGAAAAGTTGGATTTTCATTTATTTCATTTGTGGGTATTTTTTTCTTTCCAGCGGTGAAAGCGGTGCCGGAAAGACAGTAGCTGCCAAATACATCATGAGTTATGTCTCCAGAGTATCTGGAGGAGGCCCCAAAGTCCAGGTGAGTCTATCACCAGAAAACTTGAAGTCTGCCAGTAAATTACTATATAAGATGGAGATGCCTCAAAATATAATGAGTTCCAACTAATCAATAAGAAGGTCAGATAACCCAAAGGAAAACAGACAAATGATGTGAGAAATTGCTCATAGAAAAGGAAAGAAAATGACTCATAACATGAAATTATACTCACACTAAGAAAGAATAACAAAAATAGTAAAATTATCTTTTAACATATCACATTGGTGAAGTCTTAGAGTGTTTAAATGATTTGTGAGTGAGAATATGGGGACAGTAGTCACTCAAGAGCTTCTACCCTTTTATGAGGAGAATTTTAACAAAATCTCAAATTTAAACAGATCTTTTTGACTGTTTAAGGAAATTTATCCTTCAGATGGACTAAAATATGTGACAGATGATACATACATAGAGTTATTTGGTATGACTTTTTTTTAAATGGCTGGAGACTGCAATAACTCATTGTTAAATTCCATCAAGTTGCCTATGACTCATAGTGACCCTATCAACAACAGATCTGAACCTTGCCCTATCCTGCATCATCTTCAGAAACTCTAACACGTGTGAGCCCATTGTTACAGTTACTGTGTCAATACATCTCGTTTTAATAAGCAGTTTATAAGAGAATTTACCCTTTCATCACTATCATTGTACAGCTATAAAAATGATTTTTAGTTGTACTTAAATGGAATGATATCTTAAAATCTATACATCAGTTGCAAAATATAATGTATAATATACTATTAGAGAAAAAAGAGAGCCTGTAGATACACAATTGCATTGGGAAAGTCAGCTGTAAGGGACCTCTTCAGAGTACTGAGGAGCAATGATGTCAGGCTGGAGACTAAGGTGCACCTGATCCAGGCCATAGTCTTTACAATTGCGTGCTATGAGTCAGAGAGCTGGACAGTGACTAGGAATGATAGGAAGAGAATTGATGGCTTTGAGCTATGGTACTGGAGAAGAGTGTTGAATATACCATGAACTGCTAGGCTAACAAACAGGTTTTTCCTGGAGAGAGCGAAACTGGGCTGCTCCTTGGAAGCAAAGATTCTGAAGCTTTGTCTGGCATGTTGCAAGGAGGGACCAGTCCTTGGAGAAGGACATCATGCTTGAGGGGGTGGAGGGACAATGCAGAAGAGGAAGACTCTTTACAAGGTGGATTGATTCATTGACTGGGGTAATGGAGGTAGGTGTGTGGGAGACAGTGAGGTTGGCACAGGATAAAGCAGGATTTAGGGCTGTTGTACATAAGGTTGCTATGAGTTGCAATTGACTCGATGGCACATAACAACAAACAACAATATGTGTATTTGTTTGGCTATGTACAGCATATCTCTGAAAGGACACACAAAGACAAATGGCAATGTTTGCCTGTAAGAAGCAAAAAGAGGAGACTGGGAGAAGGAATACGCTGCATACCTTGTTTTGATATTTCTTGGTTTGAAACATGCGACTGAATTGCCAATTTAAAACAGAACTTAAAATTTCAGAATAGAGAGGAAAAAAAAAGAGTAACAGTCTGACAAAGAAAGCAAGGTAAAGAAGAAACCAAAAGGAAAGAGAAAAGCAGGAAGAAGAGAAATGGTAGGGAAGCAGGAAAACCTCTAGACGGAAGATGAAGAGAAAAGGAGAGAGAGAGGGCTAAGGTCAGAGAAGTGACAGATTCAAGCGCTTCATGTGATGAGTGGAGTGGACCCAGCTTTGTCTCTCTTTAGTGTCACTTGTTGTTGTAGCAAAAAGAACATGCCCAGATAGACGTGACACTGATGGTGGGTTAGGGTTCACAGAGATCTTCCCAAACTCATAATGTTTGTCACTGGCGCACACCTTTCTTTGATGGAAACTCATCCACTAAGATAGATGTTAATGTCAAATTCGGTGTTTCCATCAGAACGGTTTCTTACACAGTGTTGTTGCCATGGTCAGCTGCTGTCTTTAAAAAAATTCCTTGAGACTCTCTTGATTAAGATTCTCTTTATAAACGAAACACTGTTCCATTATACCCTGGTGGATCAGAAAGCTGAAGGCTGAGTCCAGAATTCTTTACATGGAGCAAAAGGGTCTCAGGATGAATTCTTCCTCTGAATGGAAGGAAGTTCTGAAGGAGCACTGTCTTACAGAAATATAATGATAGCTACACAAAAGAATTTTACCTTTTTTTTTTTAGTAGCTACCTTTAAAGTGATGGCACAGTGATTAAGTGCTTGTTTACGAATAGAAAGACCCATGATTCGAACCCAGCAGCAGCTCTATAGAGAAAAGACCTGGCAAAATGCTTCTGTAAATGTTGTAACTGTTGATGTGCGCTGTCAAATTGATGCCAACTCCTAGGAACCCTGTAGGAGAAGGTAGCCCCTGTGAAGGTTTCTCCAGCCGAAATCTTCATGGAGGCTGATCACCAAGTCTTTTTTCCCTCCGAGGTGCTGAAGGGTTTAAACAGCTGACCTTGTGGTTAGTAGCCAAGTGCTTTCTTTGTGGGAGGAGCACCTAGGAAACTCTGTGACACAGTTCTGTTCTGTGATATAAAGGTCACAGTAGGTTCTAATCAACTCCAGCAACAGCAGTGACACTTTAAAAAAAGAAAGTAAAAAGAAACTGATTCCATAACTATTTCTTATTTAATCCAATATTTAAAAATCTTAGTATTTCAGCATGTTATAAAAATCAAATATGGGGGAGCCCTGGTGGCCTGCTGGCAGGAAGCTGCACTGCAATCCCAGAGGCACGCGGTTCCAATCCACCAGATGCTCTGCTGGAGAC